CAGGGTAGCAACAATGAAACATATAACTTTCCTCTAGTTCTTAAATGCTTCCTCCCCCCCACTATCATGATCCCAATTCTACCTTACAAATCTGGTTGGACCAGAGGATGTACCTTGGTACACATAGCAACTGGAAACACAGGGAATACAGGACAGATGACTGCTTCAGGACCAGTGGTGAGAGTGGCGATGCCTGGAGGGTGGAGGGAATGTGGGGTAGAAAGCGGGAACCAATTATAAGAATTTACATATAGCCTCCTCCCTGGGAGATGGACAGCAGAGCAGAGGGCGGGGGGAGACGTCAGACAGTGTAACATATGACAAAATAATAATAATTTATGAATTATGAAGGGTTCATGGGGCGGGGAGGAAGGGTGAAAATGAGCAGCCGATATTAAGGGCTCAAGTAGAAGGTAAATGTTTTGAGAATGATGAGGGAAACAAATGTACATATGTGCTTGATACAATGCATGTATGTATGGATTGTGATAAGAATTGTATGAGCCCCCGATAAAATGATAAAAAAAAATCATTGCCATAATACAGTGTAGACTATAGTTAATTTTATGCAGTGATAATTTCATGATGCAACTTTATATTTGTTAACACTTCTCTCAATTGTGAATGATACCATTTATGTAATATAACAGTTTGTATGCATGAGTTTAATACATTTTTAAAAATTATACTAGATATGTATATACATCTTATGATAGCATATAATAAAATAGACTAGTACCTAAATGTATTTTATGAATTTATGACATACAATTTTGTTTTCTTTTTATTTATAGACTACGTAGTTCATCTTTAAGTTTTTTTCCAAATGATCTCATATCTCCAAAAAAAAGTTCTAATATATTTGTCAAAAATATATGTGTATCAGTGACCCTGTGCAGTTTAAGCTCCTATTGTTCAAGGGTCAATGATATTTTATTTCTTTTTATAGTTTTTATAAAATATATCAGATCTTTAAAGCAAATATAATAGCATTGTCAAAATGAGATTTTCAAAAGTAAAATATATAATAATTGAATAAAGGAAGTGGCACATAAATGGAATTATATTTTAAGATTATTGTATTTGTGAAAGTGAGCAACAGAACTAAAAGTGTTAATTACCATGAATGAAATGAAAGAGGAAAAAGAGATGGTAGGTGAAGAGGGTATGAATTATGAACTGTGACAAAATATAATATTGGCACTAATTAGACTTGGAAAAGTTATTTATATCTGTTGTTTGTTCTAGAACATGTATGATGGCATAACATGCACTATGGCAGAAGGGAAATATTTAAAATTCAATATAGGAAATAAATTGGAATTCTAAAATATTTGATCAATTGTAAAGAAGGAAGAGAAACAGTCACAGAGAAACACTAAATAGGAAAGAAAACAGAAAGCAAATAATAAAGTGGTGGATTTAAGTGCAATTATATTTTTAAAATCCATATAAATGAACTATATACTAATATCAAAAGAATTTTAAAAGTTGCCTTTTTTACAGACAATAGCACCTATGAATATCACAGATAGGATGCTAATGTAAAGTTGCCAGGTATACAGAAAGCACCTTGTGTGTAATTTTATACTACATTCCTGTGCATAACCTGCTCTGCCACCAGGACTACATAGAATAAAGTCACATGATTTTATCATAATATTACTAATAAAATAACCACTAATATCGTTACTACTTTCAGCATTTGAAAATGTTGACACAGATCTATCAAATCATGAGACGAAAGTTATCTTGATTTAATTTCAATGTTTTTAGTAGAAAAACTAGATTCAATGAAGAGTGAATTGTAGCGTCGGAGGATGGGTCATTTGATTAAATGTGATATTCATTTCCTATCCCCACTGCCATCAAGTTGATTCCAGCTCACAGGGGCCCATCAGAACCCTCAAGCTCACTCCCACCAATCCATTCAGACTCATAATGGGCTATAGAGAACGAGGTACAACGGCCCCTGGAGGATTTCCGAGACTGTTAATTCTTTATGGAAGTAGGAAGCCTCATCTTTCTCCCCTAGAGAGGCTGTTAGTATCCATCTGCTGACCTTTAGATGCTTGTAATTCATTGAAGACCTACCTGAATAATCGCCCCATCTCAAGATGTAATCATATCTACAAAGTGTCTTTGCCATAAAAGGCAGTATTAGGATTCAGTAGGGAGTAAATATCTAGAAAAGAATGATGGCAACATGTGTTCAAATATGCTTGATATAATTGATGTATGGATTGTTATGAATTGTAAGAACCCCCAATAAAATGATCTTTTAAAAATTAAAAGGTAATATTAGAAGGCAACAATGATTATGATGTGATTATTGGGGTTGTGGGGAGGGAACATGCCAAATATCCCAAAAGTAACACAGGGAATGAAACAGGAAGAAAGGACAAGCCCCTACTGTGTGCTGAGAAATTCCATCTGCAAAGCCCTACAAGTGTTCATTCTCGAAGAAATCTATTGAAGCAAAAACATAGACTAATAACATCTTGTTATTTTTAGGTGTCTTAAATGTTTATCTACGTTTGAAAGGACAGACAAAATTAGAGAATCCACTCTGGTCTTCAAGTGGGAATAAAGGACAACGGTGGAATGAGGCCCATGTTAATATATACCCAATTACTTCATTTCAGGTAAGAAAAGAACAGTGGTTCCTGCCGATAAATGTTCATAATGAGAATAATGATAAAAGTAGACCTCGAGTAAATATTGGAATGTGAACATTCAACATTCCTGTGGTATAAGAGTTTCAAAAATTATGTAACTTTAATTTTCTTTTTAATTCTAAAACCTGTAATGAAAACATGCTGTCACTTTTATTATTAACACTTATCAAATACTATGTTTGACTAATAGTCTTTATTAAAATTCAAATGATTTCCTTGGAGAAAATATAATCTATTTATAACAAATCCTATTTATATACTTTTGTTCTCTGAAGACAAACAAAATAGGTTCTTATAATAATGGAAGCCAGGTAATTAATTCTCAAGTAATTTGTTTCCATTGTACTTGAAAGAATGTATATACATCTTTCAAAATGCATTTCTTTTACTAATGAGTTTTACTAATTTATCACATTGATTTTAAAAGTCAGATAACTTTAAACATTCTTTTTTACTTTAGTTTTATATAGAAGAGAAGATTTAGATTGAATGTGAGAGTGATTGGTAAAATAAAATAGGTATTTTATAACTATTATGTAAAGCGATCATGAAACTAAATGAAGTTATTATTGATGCTTTAATTATTGAAATTTCTTCAAACTGACTACATAGTCAGTATTTTATTCGTATATTTAAGGTACAGTGAGAAGTTAAAATATAGTAACGTGATATGTGCTACAGTTTTGTTACTTGATTGTTTTAAAGGAGCCAAGTTAATTTCATGAAATTAGAATTATAGTCTTGAGTGCTTTCTCTTCTGATCACCTATCAGATACATTCCTGGCATATAATTATAAGTGTACACAAAATCAGAGATGCTGACTGTAGTTAATTGGTGAAAAGCTATTTTCTTATAATCTGTTTCTGTCCAATTCTAGCATCTAACTAGCAAGAAGGATCAATAAAACCCTTTCGTATAGAGTGAAAACTACAAGAGGAGTTGGGCAGCACAGACTGAGCTGGAATTATTACTCCAACAGAGTGCAAAATAGGCAAAGACATTGAGGTCACATACCAGACAAGATTTCAGAAATTCCAAGAGGCTTATTTAGAATATGATACATAAAAAGAAGAGGATAAAAAGCCTAAAGACTGCTAGATTTAACCTAAATCTTATCAATAAAATTAAATATAAATTAATTAAGCACAAATTTTACAAGAATTTATACAGACAATAGCACAGAGGACATAGTAGGTATTTTGGGCTGCTAACCGCAGGTCAGTAGTTCAAACCCATTAGTCACAATGAGGGAGAAAGATGAGTTCTGCTCCCATTATGAATGCTCTATTTTGTACTTATGAATTATAATGGACTTGATGGCAGTGATTTAATAGAAAGTGGTCAGAAACACGAGGGTATATACTGTATATTGACCATATGAAATTCTAGAACAGGGAAAATCACTCTTTTGGGATAGAAATTAGTGCTACAAGTTTAGACAATGGAAGTCATTGAAAATACTTATACAAGGACGTCATGGCATTTTGCTCAGATTATTTACAGAAGACTAATCTGGGTGATGTGGTGGGCTGCTCACCACAAGGGCAGTCCTTTGGATCCACCGGGTGCCCTGCAGGAGCAAGATGAGACTTTCCACTCCCGTAAGGACTCACAGCCTCAGAAACCCACAGGGGCAATTCTGCTCGGCTCTGCGATTGCTGTGAGTCAGAATTGACTCGATGGCAGTGAGTTTTTAGTTCAAGAGTGTTAAAATTAGACTGGAAAACAAGTTAAAGCGCCATTATAAAATCCACACATAAGACGTCCAAACAACGAATTAGGGAAGTGGTATAAAAAAGGAGGAGGATTTGAAGAAAGATACCTATGTAAAAACTAGCTGAACATTGAACTTTTTAGAATCTGGGAAAAAGAAGTATTCATAAATGATTTATAAATTTCAATCTAGTGAATCCTGAGAAATTCTTATACTACAAATTACCTTAATAACAACATAAAAATGGAAAACAGGATGTCTTCCTTGATGATTTCTATTTTGAACATAATATAAAACGTCTCTGCAGCGTCCTTTTAAAGATATCTAGGAGGCAGTTTCCTGTGTGAGTCTGAAGCCTTTGGGATATAAATCTTTGAGAGTCATTAGATCGTATGAGTTGCATAAAACTATGAGTAAAGTTGGTGTTATCAAGGAAAAGTATACAAAAGTGAGCATTCTGAACATTAAAGTCAGATCATCAGATGGGTACTGCATTCTTGGATTCCTTCTGTTTCTACTCATGTTTGCAACATGTAACTCTTCTCTTACTGAAAAATTATATTTGAATACAAGCTTTAATAGTATCCTATTTGTGTGTGTGTACTAATACATTATAATGTGCATGTATTAATACATTACAATGTGTGTATATTAATACATTATAATATGGGTAAGAAACTGTCAAGAGTCATTTATAAACAACTTTATAAGGTATAAATATAACAAGTAAGTTCACATAAAATTTATAAAGGTTTTCTATTTGAATTTACCCACAAATGGTTAATTTTTTATTATGCCATATTTCTTGCATATGGAGAGGGCTGAATTTCTTGCACACACTGTGAAAACATTAAAGTCATGCCAGTCAATGGAAAGCATTTTGAATAACATTGTGATTGTGTGCAAAGAACAAGTTGTGTATAATTTTATCCTTTTTTGGGAGACCTAAACTTCGCCATTACCTCCGTAGGTATCTAGATGCTGCTAATACCTTTTTCAAGCAAATTCAGCCCAATGCATCTCAGAAGTACTGAAGAGGGAAGGAGCATAATGTTATCCCTGTAATATAATAGTGGAGTTAGAATCATGATAGAACTGTATGAAAATATTATATAATCCAACTTTTTAAAATTAGAGAGTCTTCCTAAGTTCCAATAAATTATATTTTTTCATTCCAAAGATTTCATAATGTCTAAGCTGGCACACCTGCTATTATAATGCATTTTTCCCTCCAATGTGAAGTAACAATAAAAATGCATTTCACCAAGGATTTATTTTTATAAACACTTGAATGTTTGGCCAGTGTACACACATAAAATTTAATACCTGTGAATTTCATTTCTGTATCTATCTAAAAGTTGAAAATAATGTAAAGAAGAAGTGTTACCCCTCTAGGTCTTAATCTATACCACTCAGGATTCCATTCGATTCTGTAAAATTTAGTTACAATAATTGAAAGATATAATTATAGTCAGAGCTCATAGCATTAACAAATCAATATAATATTGAATGGTTTATTGTTTAAAATCTACATTTTCTCAGTAGTAAAACTGTTAGGAAAAGTAAATGGAAATGAACAAATATACTTCACAGCATCCTTTTCTTTCTTCCTGTTGAAATAGGACCCCAAAAACATCTACAGTTTCCTCTGTCCTGTTGAATTGAAATTCCTATAATCAGAAGATTATAAATAAAAATCTAAATCTATCACTGTACTTGAGTTTAGTTTTCACAAATCACATGCCCATCATTTCTATAACTGTAAATCTCTTGCTTTATTTCTACACCATGTCTAAAAATCTTACAATGCTAATAAGTACTTACAGTCTTCATTAAGTGACAAAATTATTTTTCATAATTGCAAATGCAAATAATAGATTTTCAAATAAGTCAGCTGTAATTACTGCAGCACTTCATCCATGCAGAATTCTCAGGGAGGGAAGTATTGAAGCAAGGCAGGGGTGTCAAACTGGTGGCCCATGGGCCACATGCGGTCCCCCCCTCCCCCAGGTAATTTTTTGTGGCCCGCAATGCTATGAAGTAAAATGAAAATAGTAAAAATTGTTATGAAGAAAATAGTGCTTAGGGGAGATCAGGGCAATACTGTCCACACAATTCCCTCGTTAACCCTTTAACTACTGAAGGCGTGTATGCATGTGGCCCAGTGCCTTTCCTGGGGGGCTGTGGACGTGTCTAAACGTGCTGACTCAGTCCCGGCGACATTTGGAAGCGATATGTCTGCCACTCTCAGTGTCACGCGATGTAAACAGATCCCAATAGCGAAAAGGTTGAAAAGAGCACTCTGGGTTGTGCTGTTAGGAATCATACCTAGCGGCCACGTTAGTTAACATTTTTAGAAGGAAGCCATTACGATTGTGCATCACATTTGTCAGCCGTCCAACAATTTGTGTTTTTATTAGTTACTTTGTTATATTTTCTGGTCACAACATAAGAGGTAAGTGAAAACTAGTAGGAGGAAAGTGCTGGTAAGTTTCCGGTAAAAAAGAATAATTTTAATTTTATGAATACATTAAATAAAATAAATGTTTAAATAAAAGCAATAATGTAGGATTTTAATTATCCTATCCAAATTCCTGAAGCCTCACTTCAAAATATAAATTTAAGAAAATTTGTAAATGCGATGTGGCCTGCGTGAATCTTGCCTGTTGCACCAAATGGCCTGCGTTTTAATTGAGTTTGACACCCCTGCTGTAGAGGAATGTTCTAGACATCCCTTGAAACATCTGACAATTTAACTTCTGTTTATTTGTACTTTTTCTGTTCAGCCAACTACACAGAGCCAACAGGCAATCTGCACACCTATTAAATTACACCAGTCTTTCTCTGTTGTTCACACAGAAAACTTCATTTCCGTCAAACCAAAAGTGATGAGTGGTAACAGCCTGCTAAGCTTCTCTTCTTGCGGACATGTGTCCGTAACCCAAACCGACCTCTCATCCTGTGTTTTCGTCAAGATGCTCAGGGAAGCAAGAGGGAGGGAAGCAGAGGGAGATGCGTAGAAAGAGGAAGGATGCTCATTCCTTTCAAGATGGTAGTAGAAGTAGTTTTTAAATAGTTGGATCAATGGTGGTATCATTTTGATTAAAACATGGCTTCACAGGAAATGGAGTTCTGAATAGTTCAGGAATTATATCTGTGCCTTTTGAACTTTTGTTTTATTATTTAGGTAATTCCACAATTTTACATTGATGCCTGCTTTCACGTAGCATAAACTTGCTAGGCAAGGGATTT